ACTCATGCTTGCATGCATACATGACACTTCTGTGCATGTGCAGAAGCTTCTGCGTATAAGCAGAAGCATCTGGTGGGTGAGTGAAGCCTCTCGCCGCTGCTGCTACTGGTTCGCCCAATCCGGGCGGAACTGAGAGCAGCCCACATATGGTCCCAAACCAATACCAATCTTAAAAAAGAGACTGATCAGAGGAAAATCTTATAACACAAGATCAGAAGGATTATCTTTCAGCATTCATTCATTTTGTCAATGGAAAATAGGCACAGGTTGGTGTGAATAGCCATCAGATGTAGCACAAATGAAACCAGAGACAAATGTCTTGGTTCTAAGGACTTTTTCATGAACCAATCTTTTAGAGTTTTCTAGAAATGTACATTCCATTCAGACTTTCTTGTAAAAGACCAATTCAGTTATTCTAATGTCCTCTCTAATTTCTTCAGGCAAAATCGTAACCTTAATTCTCAGGACATGTACTGAAAGCCATGTGTAGCTGCTTATTAATGCAACCATCTCTCCATGACTCTGATTAAATCTAAACAAGTTATTCTAGATTGTGTGTCAATTTGTAGAGAAGGACTCTAGCTTCCAGTATAAAAAACATGCTTTAGCTTTCTGCTAACGTCGGAGAAGGGTTCTAACCTGTTTAAATGATGGGAGGTGAGATACTGTACTATAGGAATGTTTTCATTGGTCAGCTATTGAAAGAACCTACCTGAGCGGTGCCAACCAAAGCTCATGGTTTTGGTGGCTGGGCGAGTAGAGACCCAGAGTGAAAAAAGGCTGACACCCATGCTTCCCATATCTGTCAACAGGTGGGCTGCATCTGTCATGATGGCCAGGCTATGTGCCAGGTATCCACCTGGAAAGCAAACAGACCCCCGGGGATTTTAAAAGCATAGATGGAGACAGGTCAATTAAAACCTAGCATAAGTATGTGCACAACTTGCTAAAATGGTTGATGATAAGATAATCATGTTTTATTGTATATCACTTCATGTGTTATACAGACAGAAGCCTTTTAGTCAGTTTATGTTTTAATGAGTTGGATGAATCCAGAAAAGGAGTTAATTCAACAACCAGGTTAGGTGTGTTAGATGAATGCAGATGATTAACAAATTAAGAAATAGGGCAGATCGATTATATCTTTTGACCAAACTGACCTATAACTTCTCCCACCATGAAGAGAAAGCAGATTAGACAGGCAATGCTGAGTTTCCGCTGAGCCTGTAGTTTCTGTTGACTTTGAATGGTGGAGCATGGCACAAGATGACAATGGGGGACCACACGCTGCTCCACCTTGAGACCCATCATGGATATATTTGCATGGCCATTTTCTGAGGGTAGGTTGGGAAAGACATCTTGAGAACCTGAAAACAAACTGAAAAAATATTGGGCTATCAGAAGAACCCTCCATCTGAGTCAGATGCCAGAAGTACTAATAAAGGAGAATATTTGTAGCTCAGGGTTGACATGAAATGTCTGGAAGAAAACAAGCAAGCTCAAAGAGCACCAAGGAGCCCTGATGCCAGAAGTTCACATCAATCCCCCACCCTCCGCTCCAGTGTTACAATGGTGTTAATCCAATATCCAGCAAGAATAGAAAAATTGCAAGGAAAATATAATAAAGGCTTGAGCAGAAATCATGAAGGTGCAGCCCACTGGATTCTGGTGAACGCAGTAAAGATACATGTTCACATTTTGGTTTTATGGAGAAATATCTGTCAATTAAAACCAAGAACAAACCACAAACAAATTAGCAATATATACAGTATTGGTTGCATATGTTAATCTGTTGATACAATTAACTTATTTTATGAGATTGCATAATACTAAAAGGGTGGGTTTGAATAACATACTACCCCCTTTCCTTCCTCCATCCACAGATAGTGTACAACAAGTTTATCAGTTATAATGTTCTACAAACTATATTAGGTCTTGAATTGTCCTAGTTAAGGTACCAAGCAAATTGAACCAATTAGGAAGGAGATGGATGCATACCAGAAACAAATTTACTGAGAATGACCTTCCTGACCATCCATCTTTGGCAGTGGAGTGACCAAGGAGCACAGCAACGTTCTATCAACAACATATTTTTTATGCAGTCTAACGCTCATGGTGACAGTTAAACAAAGCTGTCATGGTAATGATTGCAACTTGACTAGTCAGGCTGACTAGAACTTCCTGCCCTGTTTGTGAGTCTCTTGGAGATATTAGCCTGACCACTGCAGGAGGCAGAATGCTGGATAACATGGAACAATTTTGGCCCGATCCCTGCAGAAACAGTGATATAAGACAAGTGTAACTCAGCTCTGATATTCACCACCCTATATTTATTTGGAACTTGGCAGTGTCTTTCATAAGCACTCAGCCAGAGAAGACTGATGCTAATAATACATTCCAGTCACCCAGATGGATAATTAATAGCAAGGGATGGCTCAGTAAGCACTGAGCATCTTCTACCAATTTTGAGCCAACTCAGTTCTGTGCCCCAACAAGAGATGAAAATCCCCAATATAGCTCATGAGGCTTTGCTATGGCAGCTGCACATGGCAAGGGCTCTTTTAAAGAGTTTATTTGACTCAAGAGCAGATGCAAGCAAGCCTCCAGCAACACTCTCAGCATGCTTCAACAGCAGGTCACCTGAGCAGTCAAGAGGGAGTGGAAGGACTCAAGCCAATCCTTATCACAAACCACACATTTTGCATTCCTGTCTCATTTCATTTTCATTTCATTTCATTTATTGAATTTATAGGCCGCCCAATCCCGGAGGACTCTGGGAGGCTTACAGAAATGAAAAATATTAAAAAAGTATTAAAACAATAAGATACAACAAGATTAAGAAGAAACACAACATGCACCCAATCAAAGGGGGGCTGGACCTCAATCAAGATTGTCTACTCTATCCAATCACTTTCACACCACAGGAAGTTCTAGGCAACCTGAGTAAGGAATATGCTCATATGTTCCTGTACTCAGGGGTAGCATCTGAGGGATCCCATCTCATAATACCTGTGCGGTCAGAAGATTCACTGCATTTCAGGTGTGTTGGCATTCACGTAGAAATCAAGACTTGGAAGATGTGTTGCTCAGATAGGTTTTGGATTAGCTCCAACAGCCTATTCGCATCATGTCACATAGAGATTGTCTTCTGCCCAGGACTTTCTATGGCCATGAATCAGGCTTAGGTGGATCTGATTCAGTTAATGTTAGTTTGGCCACTTCTCTCACCCCTCCCCACTTTCTTCTTGTTGACTCTTAGGGTAGGCTTTGGATTAGCTCCAACTCCTTTACTTGCATTAAGGAGGATGAAAACATGCTTAATATGCCATGTT